TAACTTTGTAGTAATTGACTTATCCCGTTAACGTTTTCACTTATTTGTTGCAAAACAAAAATATACTATTTTATGTCATGTTCCCGAGAGGCGAAACTCGGAGAGGTCAGTTATAGTCATGGACGCACACACAAGTTATGAGGTTATATCGTCAAATAATGTGTTAATTAATTGTATCTAAAGGAGAAAAATTATTGCTACTGGCAATCATTGGTAAAGTCCCTTTCAATTCCATTAAGTACCCGCTTGATATTGCGTATTTGTTCAAAATATTTTATTCCATCGTGACCGTGTCACGACTTGTCAGACATAAGTTATTTAATGTTTTACCTCTTGGTGGATTATAAAAAAACTATATAAAAGCAGTCGATACTCTAGCAGCCTTTGTGGCTCTAAAGATGTTATGTAATTGGATCCTCAAGTTATTGGGTTCCCAAGTCACCACTGAACTCAGTGGGTATAAGGAGATAGAATTGTGTATGATGGGAGGTGTTGTTGTAGTTTACAAAAGACCAAAATTAACGAAGGGAGGGAGTTAGATTGCATTGCAGTAATGTCAACCTCATTTATCTTCAAATAAAACTCAAAAGCCTAAAATTATTTAATGTTTTACTTCTTAAGACGTGAGTCAGGTGTTGAAAGTAACTTCAGACTGGACAGTCCTGCCACCAGCGAGCGCATAAGAATGGCTTGTGTCGACCAGTTTACTGAACAAGTAAGTTATTTTTGTCAACTAAGGCCTTACAGTCACATTTTCTTGACTAGCAAGTTGATGGCAAACGACTGCTGCAATGATGCATAAAAGCAGGCATTTTTATACTAGATAATAACAAGGGATAAAAAGGTACTCCATAGAATAAATGAATCGAAAGCGAAAAATCTATTTGTTTTAGTACAATTTTGACTAAATTTCTTTCAAATCACGATTTCCAATCATTATGGGCCNCCATATAATAATGAACTCTTAAAAATCTGAAGAAAACTCTGGCTGTTTTGTAACTTTGTAGTAATTGACTTATCCCGTTAACGTTTTCACTTATTTGTTGCAAAACAAAAATATACTATTTTATGTCATGTTCCCGAGAGGCGAAACTCGGAGAGGTCAGTTATAGTCATGGACGCACACACAAGTTATGAGGTTATATCGTCAAATAATGTGTTAATTAATTGTATCTAAAGGAGAAAAATTATTGCTACTGGCAATCATTGGTAAAGTCCCTTTCAATTCCATTAAGTACCCGCTTGATATTGCGTATTTGTTCAAAATATTTTATTCCATCGTGACCGTGTCACGACTTGTCAGACATAAGTTATTTAATGTTTTACCTCTTGGTGGATTATAAAAAAACTATATAAAAGCAGTCGATACTCTAGCAGCCTTTGTGGCTCTAAAGATGTTATGTAATTGGATCCTCAAGTTATTGGGTTCCCAAGTCACCACTGAACTCAGTGGGTATAAGGAGATAGAATTGTGTATGATGGGAGGTGTTGTAGTTTACAAAAAGACCAAAATTAACGAAGGAAGGGAGTTAGATTGCATTGCAGTGATGTCAAGCTCATTTATCTTCAAATAAAACTCAAAAGCCTAAAATTATTTAATGGTTTACTTCTTAAGACGTGAATCAGGTGTTGAAGGTAACTTCAGACTGGACAGTCCTGCCACCAGCGAGCGCATGAGAATGGCTTGTGTCGACCAGTTCATTGAACAAGTAAGTCATTTTAGTCAACTAAGGCCTTACAGTCACATTTTCTTGACTAGCAAGTTGATGGCAAACGACTGCTGCAATGACGCATAAAAGCAGGCATTTTTATACTGAGTAATGAAAAGACGTTATTTAATACTTATTCTAGATAATAACAAGGGATAAAAAATTACTTCATAGAATAAATGAATCAAAAGCGAAAAATCTAATGTTTTAGTAGAATTTTGACGAAACTTCTTTCAAATCACGATTTCCAATCATTATTCTGCATACCGTAAACTGCCGC